GGCATATTACAAATAGGCTAACTATATTGATAGACCAATTGGCATGTTAGGAAAGACCAAAAGTCAAATATGAAGACGAAAAGCAGAAATGGTAGAATAAGAGAGATGGATAGGCCATGAGCTCCACCATACAGGAAATACTAAACCACTTGGAATAAGTTGAGGGCCTAAACTCCAGCACTGAGGCAAAGTAAAAGTTAAAAAAAAGTAAAGATCCCTTTTCACGCCTTTTAGGCACATTATGCAAATGGGAAGAGCACTTATATTTTTACAGACCTATCGGCACTCGGTGGCTAATGTAGTCAACATTATGATGGCCATCTTAACTTTCCCAGGACATTCATCCTGGTACCCATTTTAGACTGGGCTGACATGTGACGCCCCATACCATGATAAAAATCCACGCAGCCAGCAGTGGGTTTCAATCGCAGTACGTTGGAGTTACGAGTCGGACTCGCAACAAATTAAGCCACGGATGCCACTGAAGCAAAGGGCAGCCAATAAGAACAGACATTCTTGTAAGTAAAATACAGCGTACTAAAAAAAGCATAGCCAATCATGTTCTTTTCAACTCACAAACTGAGACATATCCACAGTCTCTCCTGTTGCGGCTGCCTCCAGTGTTGCGATTACCAAAGTTTCTGTAAGTTCCTACTGTTGGTCCTCCGACCCAAACCCACTGTCCGTTTGTATTGTTGTCTGTTGACATGGGAAAAGTACAAAATAGTCAATGATCCCTTTAAATACCCTGAGCACAATAGTACGCAACTGTTGGGGGAGGAGGGGGGGGGGGTGAATCAAGCAATTTAAAGTTTTTTTTGCATTTTGTATTTTTTAAAAAATCTTTTATTTTTTTGCCTAATTTCCCTAAAATAAATTTGTAATATAATAAACAAAGGGGGCGGTCATGGTAGCCTTGTAATTCCATAATAGGGGGGGGGGGGGGGGGGGGGGGGGGGTTTCTTGCGTTACTCAAAGGGGCATGGGTTCTGTATTATCCAATACCAGAGGAGGGGGGAGAGGGTTTCTTGCAGTATACCAAAGGGCATGGGTCTGTCATATATCATATACAAAAATGGGGGGGGGGGGGGGGGGGGGTTCTTGCAAATACTTGAAGGGGCATTGTTGTCAAATCCTATACCCCAAGGAGGGGGGCGGGGGGGGGGGAGGGGGGGGGGGGGTTTCTTGCAGTATACTCAAAGGGGGGATGGGTTCTTGTCATATATCCATACTCAAGAGGAGGGGGAGAGGGTTTCTTGCAGTATATCAAAGGGGCATGGGTTTTGTCATATATCCATATACCAAAAACGGGGGGGGGGGGGGGGGGAGGGGGCGGGGGTTTTTTGCAATATACTCGAAGGGGCATTGTGTTATCATATATCCATATACTCTCAAGGAAAGGGGGGGGGGGTTCTTGCAATATACTCAAAGGGGCAGGGTTCTTGTCATATATTTAACTCAAAGAGGGGGGAGGGGGTTCTGCAATACTCAAGGGGCATTGGCCTTGTCATTATCATATACTCAAGGAGGGGGGCGGGGGGGGGGGGGGGGGGGGGGGGTTCTTCAATATATCAAAGGGGATTGGTTGTGCATATATCCATTACTCAAGGAGGGGGCGGGGGGGGGGGGGGGGGGGGGGGGGGTTCTTCCCCAGTATCCCCAAAAGGGCTTTGGTTCTTGTCATATACCCATTATCAAGGAGGGGGGGGGGGGGGAGGGTTTCTTGCAGTATACTCAAAGGGGAGGGGTTCTTGTCAATACCCTTTACTAAAAAAACAGGGGGGGGGGGCGGGGGGGTTTTGCAATATATAAAGGGGGCTTTGGTTGTTATATACCCATATACTCATCAAAAAGGGGCAGGGGTTTTTGTAATATCCTATACTCAAGGGGGGGGGGGGGGAGGGGGTTTCTTGCAAAAACCAAAAGGGGCATTGGTTTTTTGTAATTCCATATACTTAAGAGGGGGGGGAGGGGGGGGAACCCTAAAAAGGTTTTGAGACATGACTAGTAAGAACACAGTTTAGCAATCGGGATTTCCCTTTTTAGTCTGCCCCCCAGAGTTTCATAAATATTTTCCCGGTCTCTGTATTTTGTGGCCCTATTTATGAGTCGAAATTGGTTCGTTCCCCTGTTTTGAATGTCTTGTTGATTTTAGTTTTTCATGGGCCAAAACATTTTATTGTTGTTAGCATTAAATTTAGTACTGATATTGGCAGACCTTTGCAGATATCCTCCCCCAAAAGGGTCTTTCCTTGTAAACTAGCATAATAGTAAACAATCATTTATGTTTTGACTTTTTTTTTCTGTCTTCTGAAGACAGGTCCCTGTTTTAATTTATGAGGATTGGTAAGAATTTGTGTTGACAGGTTTATATTCACACGCTTGCTGAAAATTGGTATTTGGCCTAAAAAATTGATTGGCTTTTTTTGCAAAATATAGGATAATTATTTATTCAGAGGAACACATGAAATTACTCCACCCACCAATAATGATAAAGATATTAGAAGTCAATAAATGTATGCAATATTATAATTACATTAAAAAAAAACTTGCATTAGCTGCAGAAGGCACTGAAGGAGAAAGAAGGTGGTAGTGGTTGTAACCGAGGTAGTAGTGGTAGCAGAAAAAGAAGAAGTAGCAGAAGCAGCAGTAGTAGTAATAATAAAAGTAGTAGTAGTGGTAGCAGCAGCAACAGCAGCAGCAGTAGTAGTAATAACAGAAAAAGTACAAGTAGTAGCCAAAAAAGACAGCAGTAAGTATTCTGAGTAAATACTATTACCAATAGAAAGCACATGCATTTTCTGGGATGTGCAAAATGTCAACCTCCTAAAACCTGGTAAACATCTAAGATACACTACCCTGAGACCAAACAGGACATATAATGTAAGTTGAAAAGACCATGCAACTGCTAGACGGGAATTATATGAGTAAAGGATATGCAGGTTGATGAGTTGCAAGATGGAAAACAAAGGACGTACTAATTAGACAAGGACACACTACAGGATTGATAAGCAGAACATAGAGGCAGGACATTCAGTCAAGATATAAGGATAAGTTAAGTCAAGGAAAGAATTTACCAGAACATGTCAAACAGGACAAAAAGAAGAAGTAAACAGACCAATTTTACAGAGAAGAAACAGACAAAAGATAATGAGGTGTAACTAAACAGACAATGGAATTTATAAAAATTCAACAGGACTAATTTAGATAAACAGAAAAAGATACAGAGAAATTGTGGATAAGACCAGAGACAAGACAGACAACTCACATAGACAAGACAAAGAAGCAAGAAAGGGAAATTTAAACCAGTTAAGTCAAACAGACAAACTGGAACAGAACAAGGCTGAAAGAAAAGAAAGAAGATACAGCATGATAAGAACAGAAACAAAAACCAAACAAGTCACACAAACAGGACAAACAGATAAAGACAAGAAACAAACAAGTCACATAAACAGGACAAACAGAAAAGCAAGACACAAAACAAACAAGTCTTATAAACAAGACAAACCGATAAGACAGAGACAGACAGAAAGTTCAACCAAACTTTGGACCCACCTGTTAACCCAATCCAAAAGTTGGTGTTGGGGTGTGCGATAGACTCAGCAATCACATTTGGTTTCAAGCCAGCATGAACAATTGCTCTAGAAACATTGACAACAACAAAAAGAAAAAAAACACAAGGCTGTCAGATAATTTCTACAAACCGCTACAATATTTCTTAACATTTGTAAGTTAATTACATATATTTGCTCAAGTATTTGGACAATTAGCTCCCCTTTTACAGGAAGAAGCAGAATCTAAATATAACTGCAGAATGCAAAAGCAATAAACAGGTCTCTGAGTTTAAATATATGAGAACAACATTTGCCAAAGGTGGCTAAGTGGATAAAGAATTTAACATCCAATTCAGTCAAGAAAACCAAGTATTGGAACCCAAGTATTGGGATAAGGCAATCCTGATTAGCAAAGTTTGAAGTTTCAACAACAGATCAACATCATGGAACACAAGAAGTAAGAAATAAGTGCTCCGTTCTACTTCTAACTCAAGTCTGTGATTAGCAAAGAGAAACATCCCAAACAAACTATATTTATTCCATCTCTATGCTACCAGAGCCATACACAACAAACAAACCAAAAAAGAACAATTAGTACCTACAGAAATGAGATATCAGAGCAATAAAACTGATACATACTATTGTAGACTGCAACGCCATGGATTCAAAAGAATAATAGCAGAATGAATGGTACCAGGAATGAGGGGTACGGGTCAACCAGCATGAAGATAGGGGCATGACAGAAGTGATGCCCTAAATAAGTAGTACAAAAATAGGCACATGATAGAAGTGACACCCTAAGTAGTAGGAAGATAGGCACATGATAGAAGTGACACCTTAAGTAGTACAAAGATAGGCACATCATAGAAGTGACACCCTAAGTATTAGGAAGCTAGGCACATGATAGAAGTGACGCCTCAAGTAGTACAAAGATAGGCACATGATAGAAGTGACGCCTCAAATAGTACGAAGATAGGCACATGATAGAAGTGACGCCTCAAGTAGTACGAAGATAGGCACATGATACAAGAAACGCTTTAAGTTGGAATAAGTTGGAATAAGTTGGAAAGAACGTGGCAGGAAAGCTGCAGAAACAACTTTTTTTCAGGTAGACCGTGATGAGAGCGACATTCTGAAAATGACCTACTAAATGATAATGATGATGTGGAGATGCATGATCGCCCAGCCAGACAGCAAGGCACATGATGGTGATTTTCTGTGCTTAATTTGCTTCAGACTGTCACTTTATATAGTAAATACATCATATAGCAAACACAGTATATAGCAAATACAGTATATAGCAAATACTCTATATAGCCAATACAATATATAGCAAATACACTATATAGCAGATACATTATATAACAAATACAAAATGTTAAGGCCTACGTGTAAAAGAACTGACAAGAAAATTCAAAGATGAAATCACGGGGTTGATGTCTACTTCACCAAATGACTAGAAATAAGTTCCGGTCTGTTATATTTCTGTCTATGTATGATTTTGTCTTTCTTTGTTGTTGTTCTACATTTCTGTTTGTTTGCTGATAAAGACTTTTGTAGAAACCTTCAGATGTATCTATACGCGGCATCTGTTTTCCATAAGCTTTCTAGCTACACTTTCTGTAGTGTTTATTTCAGACAAGAAGTTAACACGTCTTTCCTACCCTGTCTCCGAGTTGTAACTGACCAATACTAAAACTGTTCAAACTGTCGTCTGCTGGCTGGCAGTCCTTGATCGTAGCTTTTGTAAGTTTAGGTCAGTCTAATTCTAGAAACTAAGCCAGGCATCGTTTGCATTCATCATCATCGTCAACAACAACATCATCGAGGAGCGACGGAACATGAAAGCTCAACCACTTCATACAACTGTGTATAATTAAATTAAAGGATCCTTTTCCACGCCTTGAGGCATATAGGGCATATAGGGCTAGACCGATATTTTTATAGACCAAACGGCACAAGATGGTTGATGTGGTCAGCATCACGCTGGCCGCCTTTACTTTCTGGGACTGCAACCGGTACCCACTCAAGGCTGGATCGACCTGGGATTAAGGTCATTTTTGAATAAAGTCAGGTCCGCTGGGGAGCGAATCCACGACCTTCCGATCCGCACGCGAGCGTCTAGCCGCTACGCCACGGCGATTTCCCATACACCTGTGTAAAACTGCATATAATCGTGTGTTATTAAGTACTATACAGGTAGCCAAAGAAGAATAGTGCACCAGTACAGAAAATTTGCTATCGGTTGCCTCACGCTGAAGGAGATGCTGAAGATGGGATCCAAGCTCTTATGGACTTGTCAGATGTACGATGAGGATAATCTGTCGATTAACTAGCTTTCTCATTTTCTTCTATCCCCCCCCCCCCCGCCCCTCCCATGAAGCATATGCCTTTAAATTGCTCCATCCTTCGATACTGCACGCAGAAGGTGTAGTTCTACACTTTTATGTTCAGTTACTAGGGTAACTACAATATCTTTAGCTGAACACTGGACATCCCACTAATATTTTGAGATGAAAACGGGACATCCTACTATTTTGAGGTGAAAATGGGACATCCACTAATATTTTGAGGTGAAAACGGGACATCCCACCAATATTTTGAGATGAAAACGGGACATCCCACTAATATTTTGAGGTGAAAACGGGACATCCTACTAATATTTTGAGGTGAAAACGGAACATCCCAAGCAAGTCAACTGACAAACCCCCTCACCCGCCCCCCCCCCCCCCCCCACCTTTTCTTTTTGCACCATCCAGTGAACTACTAAGCTGACGGATATCGCGCAAGACGGATTATAACTCGTCAAACTAAATGATTCCCATTATGAGTTATCTAACCTAGCTTCATGAGAAGGAGAAAAACTGCAGTACATCGTGACGGGGGGAAGTTGGAGAAGAAAAGATACAGAGGGAGGTAGAGAGAGAGAATGTTTTTGTTTGAGATAATTTCATAGATGATCATCTGTGTCATGTGACTGAAAGTAATACAGGCCGAAAGTTGTGCATACAATGAGTACCAGCGCCACACGGCATGGACTACAAGAAAACCCTAGCGTCCTATGTTTTGTCTGAAACTGGTTTCACTCGTCGTATATGACATACTTCTTTTTCGCCTGCATTGGCTGTAAGCTCCGGCGAAAAATCTGGTTGTTCGTCCACGTTTGGACTATAGTTTTGTGTGCAGTTTTGTATGCACATCCACTTTACAGATCTAGTTTTAATTGTACACAGACTGTTGTTTCCTTGCCTCTCGGACAGATGCACTTCGGCTTAGAAGGAAATGACGTACTGAAAGTTGAAGTACTAGTAAGTTAATATCGAAATCATCAGTGCATTGATACATCAGTGATACGGTTTTTTTTTTAACATTAATTTGAGACGGCTGGTATCAACGTTATCTTCAGTTATCAGTTTGAGACTATACTTAAGCTGGTACAAAAGGGGTGTGTTGTACAATCTTAGATAAGTACTCAAAAACGAATTTCAATTTAGTATTCTGTTACTTTGGTTAGTTAGTTAGTAAGTTAGTTGGGTTATCATCATTGCACTCCGGACATGTCCATAGGTGCTCAGATCCTCCTCTCAGTATGAACCCCAAAGTCCGATGGCTAATGTTCTGTTACTTTGTTACTAAAGATGGTAAATTGTAACAAACACAAGACAGGAAGGAAACTGCCAAAGACACGCTTAGCAAGGATTAAACAGGGGTCGACTTAATAAGATAAAAATAAGGGATGGATGTTCAGCAGGGGCCTTGATGAGGAGGATGCTGATGATGATGATAACGACGATGATGATGGTGATATAAAGGAGTGGTTGAGCCTTACTTTCTTCTTGGTAGTGATTATAGTGGTCGGGTGACCGTGACCAAAGTCAATCATCATCAGGTGCCTTGCCGACTGGCGTGGGCGATCATGCCTCTCCATAATCCACGATCTCCTGCAGCATGTATCAGTTCGTGTGCCAACACACCTCCATGCCATGCAACAAGACTGTCACGAATCTTCTCTCGTTGTCTTCCTCTATCCCTCCTTCCACAGATCTTTCCAGTAGTCACAACATGTTCTATTGTCCCTCTTTTCATAACATGTCTGTGATAAGTTGTCTTTGGGCTCCCGCCTCTTTCAAAACCTCTTGGTTGCTCTTTTTGGCTGTCCAATGTATTCTAAGCATTCTTCTGTAAAACCACATCTCTGAGGCCTCGAGAAATTGTTTGGCCTGCCTACCGGTTGTCCAGGATTCACAGCCATGTGTTAAAACTGGATGTATGTAGCAAGCAAGAATTCTTTTTCAAACTCTCAATGACAAGGCTATATTGCACAAGATGATTTTCAATTTATAAAATGCAGTTTTTGCCTGTCCTATTCTGTTTCTTATCTCAGTTATGCATCTTCCATCTGATGTTATCCATGTGCCCAGATACTTGTCAATATAGTTTGATAAAGAAAAAGGTTGGGGAATGGGCGAGAAAGTTTTAATATACTGCCCCTAGATGATGTCATAGGGCAGTCACACATTTTAAAGGGTGGTAGGTTTCACGGCTTTCTGATGCTTTTAACAACCCCAAAAACATATAGAACAGGCCCTAACCACAACCCACCTACGTCCCACGAGAGAGTGCAGCCTAGCTCCCACGACTGCATGCAGCATAGGTCCCACAATTTCATGCAGCCTATCTACAACCCCCTGAAATATTAGACTGTCCTGTAGCATGTGGATTCCCCTGTTTCGGGTAGGATATTAATAAAGCACCAAGTTAGATGCAGAAATATATCAAATTAGTATAGACGGACTGTAGTTTGACAGATAGAACGACGAAGAGGAGAAAAAAGCAGGGCGAAAACGTTTGATAAAGAAAATGTAATAAATCAATACAGAGAGCCAGAGTTTGGCCTGCACTTACGACGTTTCCCTGGCCAAGTATCCTCCTTGACTGTTGCAGAAACTGGCGGCCCCGTCAAACGTCTGCGATTGGGTTGAATATATTTTATAGCAAGTCTGGGCAGGGGTTGAACTGGTGTTTACCGTTAGCCAACTGCTGGGGCAATCAGACACTGTCGAAAATATGGAAGTAAGGTGAAATCGGAACCAGTCCTCCTTCCCCCTTTTCTACTTCTTCTTCTTCTTCTTCTTCTTCTTCTTCTTCTTCTTCTTCTTCTTCTTCTTCTTCTTCTTCTTCTTCTTCTTCTTCTTCTTCTTCTTCTTCTTCTTCTTCTTCTTCTTCTTCTTCTTCTTCTTCTTCTTCTTCTTCTTCTTCTTCTTCTTCTTCTTCTTCTCTTCTTCTTCTTCTTCTTCTTCTTCTTCTTCTTCTTCTTCTTCTTCTTCTTCTTCTTCTTCTTCTTCTTCTTCTTCTTCTTCTTCTTCTTCTTCTTCTTCTTCTTCTTCTTCTTCTTCTTCTTCTTCTTCTTCTCCTTCTTCTTCTTCTTCTTTTTCTTCTCCTTCTTCTTCTTCTTTGTCCTCCTCCTCCTCTTCCCCCTTTGCCTGCACTAGAGCAAATATCGTCGATCACACATATATTTTTTCTGTCTACCTTTCAATTATTATCCTCATAATAATTTAACACCATTATTCCGCGTCTTCCGTTAATATGCCACAAAAATGTTAGTTGTATTTTTCTCCTAAGGTTGAGATGAGCGACTTGCAAACTCTGGTCAGTACCGCAGTGTCTGCACCGGAGTGCCCAGTTAAAGTTTTCATTATATCATGTTTTTTGGTTCACTGCCAGCTCGCTTGCTTAACTTAGGCTCGACTTTGGGTATTTTGAATGCCGCCGCGGTGTAGCGACTGGGCCATCGTATGTCGATCCGAAGGTTAGGGTTCAAAAATGAACTGAGTTGGACTTTTAATGTGTTTTTTTAAAAGCCATGGTCAAGGTCGACCCAGCCTTAAAGACGTACCATGTAAAGTCATAGGAAGTAAAGGTGGTCGGTATGATACAGGCCACATCACCCACCGAAAGCCGTTTGGTCTATAAAATATAAGTCTAAATCTATTTGCCAAATACTCCTGAAGTCGTGGAGAAAGGCCCTCTACTTTTACTTTGAGTTTTTTATTTTCCAAGGCGCCCCCCTCCACCCCCCCCCCCCCCCCCCACCCTCCTCATTTGATGGAACATGCTGCGTTTAATCTTAAATTTGCACCACAGCATGGATGCTCACCCACGGCCGACTCATTTTATAGGCCAACTAGGTCAACGGGTTTTCCTGTTCTTGTGCAAGTCAAGGGGCCTCTGTGTTCACAGTTTTTATCTAGAGAAGGCAGTGACTCAGCATACCAGTCTGTGAAAGAACTTAAATGTCTATGACAAAATTTTACCATTCTGTGTTCATGTATTTCCTTGATCAGCTATGGCGAGAGTATCGCTAGTGTATGTCTAGATACAATTAGCGATATTTGTGTACAGTAAATAGATACAACCAATTAGGTGCCCGGATAAAAGCAGGTGAATCTTCTTCTTTTCATTCTTCCTGTCTTTGGTTAACTAACTGGCCAGACCTGGGATCTCACTACTGAGTGTTCTTTTCTCGTCCATCTCAAGCGATGATGACCACTCTGTCTTTTATCTGTCATGTAACTATAGTTAGACAAGATTTCATGTGGCTAGAATCACAGGACTATTCCCGCGTGTGTGTGCTGAGTGATTCTTTGAGCATGATCCGGCGGGTCTAGGCAGGTTGGTTACGCAGACAGTGGTTTGATTCATTTTCAAAACTCTCCTTTATGTGCATTTATTTTCATATTCGTCCCACAGTATGCAACCATTGTTGGTAATTAAAGAGCTGACAATCTGGCAGGTGCTGCACTAATTAAAGATAGCCGGTCCATGGATCACGCAGACATAGTCATTGCCCTTACAAAGGACGTTCTGAGATCTTTGGAAGCGTGTCCACATCACTGCTAAAAATACGAGAATTGGGAGTAAAGATCCGCACAGCCAAGCATGAGAAGCACACGAAGCCTTGTTAACCAACAGAGGTCTGGCACTATTAAAAGAGCGACGCAGATGAATGTGTTGAGAGGGGAATCTGACCGCCTATGGATGTGTCCGGAGTGCTGTGAAGATAATCTAGCTCATAACTCATAAACTTAGTTGATTGTCATGAGGTGACTTATAATCCCAATACGTGTCCGTGTCTGTAGGGAAAAAACCTGTCATAGGGCTCTTTCAAACCTGTCTTCGCTGTTCAATTGTCGTTTTTCTAGATGCCTCGCAAGTTGCAATACCTCTTCGCAGAGACTTTCGCCATACTGTCCGGTCTTGTGCAGCAGCTTCTCAGGTGACTGCGTTTAAACTGTAGGCTTTAAGTGATGCCTTTAGCGTGTCCTTGAAGCAGGGTTTTTTTCCCTCTCCGCCATGAGAGCGTCCACCGTCTTGTATCTAACCGTAAAAGATTAGCGAGCCGATGGTCTAGTGAACATACGGGGTGACCTGCCCATCGAATCTGTGACTGCGTCAGAATGGTATCGATGCAGTGAATGCCAGCTCTGTCCAGTAAGACAATATCCAGGACTTGATTGTTGTGGTACTTGTCCGCATGGACACAGTTCTCAACTACAGTCATGACTTTCTTGCACACATAGCTGGGGCATCTGTGTGTTACTAATTCACAATATAAATCAGAAAGCCACCATAACCGGCACAAGACGATCACCATAAAGAGGAAGAAGAAGAAGAAGAAGAAGAAGAAGAAGAAGAAGAAGAAGAAGAAGAAGAAGAAGAAGAAGAAGAAGAAGAAGAAGAAGAAGAAGAAGAAGAAGAAGAAGAAGAAGAAGAAGAAGAAGAAGAAGAAGAAGAAGAAGAAGAAGAAGAAGAAGAGGAGGAGGAGGAAGAAGAAAGAAAGAAAGTAAAAAAGAAAGAAAGAAAGAAAGAAAGAAAGAAAGAAAGAAAGAAAGAAAGAAAGAAAGAAAGAAAGAAAGAAAGAAAGAAAGAAAGAAAGAAAGAAAGAAAGAAAGAAAGAAAGAAAGAAAGAAAGAAAGAAAGAAAGAAAGAAAGAAAGAAAGAAAGAGGAGTTCTACGGTTTCGCGAAAAAAGCCACTAGGTTAAGTGCTTGATGCAGCACTGTGAGCTACGTTTTTTTTATTTGTGCAGCGGTTGTGTCTTGATATTCAGTGAGTATGGTGGGTAGCCGATTTTCGTGTAAATCGTGTAACAATTGTGTGCGCGTATAAAGTAAAAGTCCCTCTTTCCACGCCTTTAGGCGTTTTTGGCTTATAGGGCTAGACCTATATTTTTATAAACCAATCGGCACAATATGGGTGATGTGGTCAGCATCACGCCGGCTGCCTTTACTTCCTGGGACTGCACCCGGTACCCACTCAAGGCTGGGTCGACCTGAGAGTCAAGGTCATTTTTGACAAACGTCCAGCTCTGGAAGGAAGCGAACCCACGACATTCCGATCCACACGCGAGCGTCTAGACGCTTTTGTGTGTGTATGGCCAATTTTTTAGGAGAAAAGTAACAGACTACACAGCACAGCAGAAATGGCGGGACTGAATAAATACAAGGAAAACTAGGATCATGACAAACATCCGAACCAACAACCAATGACCATAAATAACCAAACACTTGAAAATGTAGAACATTTTACATATCTTGGCAGTGAGGTGTCCCTACTAGGAGGGACAGAGGAAGCTAAACAATCACACCTGAACAAAGCTAGAGCTGCTTTAAGATGCATGAGGCAAATATGGAAATCCAACAGTCACTGCTGAGGAACGAAATCCCGGCTCTACAAGAGTATCATTTTACCAGTTCTTCTTTATGGAGTAGAATAATGAAGAATGACCAAAAAGGATACACACAAGCTATCCACCTGCCACCACACATGTCTAAGTAGAATTTTCAAAATTGTCTGGCCAGATACAATCTCAAACACTAAACTACCTCAAGTCACAAACCAAGAAACTCTAGACAGTATGATAACCAAGACAAGATGGAAATGACTTGGCCACGTTGTGAGAATGAGTCCTGATTTACCTGCCGGAACAGCTCTCACATGGATACCAGAGGGAAAGAAAAAGAATGGGCGCAAAAAAACAAAATGGAGACGAACGATGGAGAGTGACCTGAATGCAGCATCTCTGACATGAAAAACTGCACTGAAGATTGCATAGGACAGGAAAGCATGGAAAGTCCTCTCTGAAGCCTCGTGTGCCACTAGACATAAAGAGAACTGATGATATTGATAATTGCCAACTTATTATTATCGACTACTTTGATCAACCGCAAACTGCATTTCCGGGAGCGATTGTTTGATTTGGCACCTCCAGCAACTGCTTTATGCATTTACTGCATGAGCGTATTTCTCTAAACTGTGCCGGGACTAATTGTTTCTTTATTTTCAAATGAGACATTGAGGGACATTTCATTTGATTTTCACAGGTCCGTCTGTGTGTATATATAAATAGAGAAGGCCGTGGATTTTTACTAGCACAGGAAAAGAGCACGTCCGGCTGTATTTATACTATAAATCTGGAGCTGGCCGTGGAAAAGAGCAAGTATGGGGAAACCACGTCCGACTCTTTTTATCAATAGCTCCAGAAGGGCGTATTGGAAACCTGATTGCGGTGAAGTTAAAACCTCGACTAAGACTGCAAACCAGGTTGATTCAAGCAGAGATCTAAACTCACTGAACTGAATTAGCTAACACCGGCTGAGCGACACATCTCACAAACAACACACCAGGGTTAGAAATTGTAATACTTCAAATTAGGAGCATTTGATACACGGCCAGCTTCAGATTTTTATAAAAATCTGGAGCTGGCCGTGATTTGATACAGCATGCCTGTTTCAAGTTGAAAAAAAAAAAAGGAATTACTTCGTGAAGGATAAATTCAATGTTAACACAAAAAGTACTATAATACATCACGAGAAGTAAAGGCGGATGTTTTAGTTTCCAGTTACCGCGAATTCCTGATTTTTTTTTTTTTTTTTAAGTCTCTTGGAATTCGTGTAATGGAGCTTGACTTTGTGTGTATGATGTGCGCGCGCGCATGTGTTTGAGTGCCTGTGTGTGTGTGTATGAAGACTATATCTACCTTAATATTGCCAAT